AAATATTGAGAAAATCACCTTTAAATTCGTCCAAATGAAGTTCTTAGCAATGCATATTACTAAACAAAAATTAAGTTTTAATATATTTACAGTAGGAAATTTACAAAATATTTTCATGGAACACGATCTTTACTTAATCTTCCAATGATTTTTGGCATAAAAAAAAAATCAATAATTTTGACCCATACAATGTATTTTTGGCTATTGCTACAAATATACCCCAGCGACTTAAGACTGGTTTTGTGCTCCAGGGTCACATATATTATGTAAACAAATGTTTTTTATTTTGGATGCGATTAATCGTTTGACAGCACTAATATAAATACTACTAAAATAACACTGGCATTACTTCAGTTGTTTATTAATGAAGCAGTCAAATCTCTTAGAAAGTGACTGCAGCAGCAAGTGACATTCAGCTGAAGGACTCTCCTGTACCTGAGGCACAGAAACATTCACCTTTTCAAGCTCTGAACGTTTGGTATGACGGCCTGCGGGAGAGGAGCTGTTTGACTCATTCTGAACATACCAAACCGACACGACGGGACTGAACACTTCCTGCTTTCACTCACTGAATAACTAGAACTGCATTTACTAGAATACAAATAATTACATTATAACCTTTCATTCCGTTTAATGCTGCATTAGCGCTTTTGAAATGCAAGTCAATAACCTGACTCATTTCTTTTCTGAATTTGGCACCCATTTCGTAATCATGAAATATAGCAATAATGCGTTTATACATAGCTATGAGCATAAAGTTTATTTATTTCAGAAAGCATACAATAAGTAACGGTTGACAAAAAAACAAAGTAAAACAAAAAGCAAACAAAAAAATCTAAAGAAAAACGAAGCAAAACCACAAACAAACATGGCTGAGAAAGTTGCATGTGTCATATGAAATGAATACGTCTAAACAGCCCCCAGCTCTGGTCTCAGACTGTCTGCTTTGACTGTGACAGACTCACTGGCCACTACATAGGACGCGGACACTACTGTGGAGTTGGAGTCATGTCTGTAAACGCTGGGATGAGACTTGTACCTGTCTTTGCGGGGTGTGTCAGAATCGAGCGACCCCTGGCTGCCTGGGCGCCTCCTGTCTATGGTCCCGGCTTCTGAGTCAGGGGTCCCCGGGCACCCAGGCATAGCAAACATGCCTGAGACATTGAAGTCCACATCTGAAGAGCGAAAGAGCAGAGGATATTAAGACACGGCCATGACTGAGTAAAAGACTTTGCAGACATATTTCCAGCACAAAGGCAGAAATTAGTCAGGGAAATTATGCTGCTTCTCTTTGGTCCAATCTGAAGCAGTATTGCTTGCATCTTTTATGGATAATGCAATTCCATGCAGTGTTGTTATAGTAAACTAAAATTAATACTGAAACTATTAAAAATTATTTTCAGGCAACTGGAATACAGCTGATAAAATAAAATAAAACTTAAAAAAGCTTGAACTTAAAACAAATTAAACTTAAACTTAAAAAATACTGGCAACTAACTGAAATAAGTTTATGTACTAAAAGTAATAAAATGACTAAATTACAACTGAAAAAAAATAAAGCTATATGAGAATAATATTAAAAACGAATAAAAATGACAAAAGCACAAACATTTTTTGTGATGAACCTGGTACTGTATTTTACTAATATTGTTACTCCATGTTTTATTATACAGACAAATATAAACAAATATATCCAAAGTCGCTTTGGATAAAAGTTTGCTAGATGCATAAATGTAAATTAAAAAATAAATAAATAAAACTTCAAATAAATTTAAAATGAAAACAAAAATAAAAGTTAAAATACTAAAAATAAATACTATAAATACAAAAAAAAAAATCAAGATGGAGGATGAAGTGAAGCATTCCGTTCTGAAAAGTATTGATAAAAATAGTTCAAATTAAATGTAATATTTTTTAACAAGTTCTTAGCTTTGCAAATGTTCAATGCTCAATGCTCACATTAGACCATGGATGTAAAATTGTACTTCGCTGCATTTGTTGCGCAGGTATATGATTATAAACATGTTCATTTACAACTGCATTTTCAAGTCTGACTTCTAGTGTCACTTTTCCATGTAGGGAGCTGGAAATTCCATGTTTGAAATTTCCGAGCTGTAAAAGGCAGAAATAGCACGCAGCATATTCAGCTATGAGCATTAGTCAAATCTCCAGTACACTTCTCCTGAGCAGTCACAGGGGTTGCATCTCATTTAGGATGTAAGGCGTCTGCCTATCTAGACAGCTAAAGCTCACTAGGTTTTAGACAGGGCAACTCTCAATGGTAGTCTTACCTTCAGGGAAGAACCAGCTAGAATGGTTGATTATCAGTTCTATTATAGACACGACATGCACGGAGGTAGTAGCCGCCATCTCAGCCAGGCTTCTAGAAGAACAACAAAACTGTAACATATCAAACCATTTCACAAGAAACATAAACAAGGACAATTAACTATATAAACAATGCAATTTTAGGGGTAATGTGAGTGGAGTGCTCTTGGGTTTGTGTCTCACCCCTCTGTCTTGGCCCACAGTAAATTGGGTCCCAGTACGATGGCGATGTTGCTCGCTGTCATCTTATTTACGTCACTTTCCAGAGCAAGCTTTGCAAGAAACTTCACCAGGTACCTTCACAGACACAGATTAGCTTGTTACGATCACTATAGACATTCCAAGTCAATGGTGAAAGTTTAGTGTAGTAACAAGCTGACCTAAAGTTGGTCTTGTTGGCTTTTGGTAACATGTCACACACCACCCACAGCGCCTGAAGCCTCTTATCAGGATCAGAGATACTGCAGACCAGAGAAAACAAGAGGAAAACAGAGTAAAAAAACTTCTGCTGTTTTTTATACGAGTTTAAAATCTGAAACATCTTTATCAATAATTCCTAAAATTCACACACTTTTTAATTAGTGTAATATTAGAATTGGTGCCATTTTACATGGCTTTTTCTTTACAGGAAGTAGGGCTGCACGATTAATCGCATGCGATATTTAACGCGCATCTTGTCAGTAAAGACGGTTCTGTAATCAGCGGTAAATCTCCACGTTCGCAAAACCACGTTCATATTCGCGCGATTTTTTGCGCAACTCGTCAGTGAACAACGGCTCTGTGTAGTTAATGCTGCTCAATGTGAAAGCACG